TTCTTCTTCTTCTTCTTCTTCTTCTTCTTCTTCTTCTTCTTCTTCTTCTTCTTCTTCTTCTTCTTCTTCTTCTTCTTCTTCTTCTTCTTTCCTTCTTGTGAGGGATGCATGCCCCAAAATATGACAGTATTCCCTCATGAGGGTATCACACTTGTATCTTTGCTGATAAGATAAAGAACATGTTTACTACACCACTCACCCCGACATTCTCCGATTCAATGTGTGGCTGGTAGGTGTTCTAGTGTGGTTTGTTCTTTCCATTATATCCAACATCCATTGTCCTTTCGTCTCCTCATTCTTTTCTGTGTATGCTATTACTTTGAAGTAATACAGTTAATCTTCGACACGTATACGACTTAACTGTCTTACTAGTGTTGTTAAACTCTTACTAGATCTAGAACTAAATTAACTTAGAGTAATTAATCCTTTTCTTATAAAACATACAATTCGTATTACGTATATGATGTCATGTCTACAATGTATACTATACATGTGTGTGTTTTTTACATTAGTTCATACGCTCTCAGAATCAACTTCTCCCCTCTCCCCCCTCCACAGATCCCCGGTCAAGCATCCCCTCAGACTAGACATTCCCATAGACCGGACAATGACCTCTAGCTGCCCCTCCCACCGCCCCAGCCACAAGTGGTCTCCCCTCCACCTGGCCCTCCAGCTCCTCCTCTCCTGCTGCGCGCCTTGGCCGAACCTCGCCTTCAACTTCCTCAGTCCTGCAACCGACAGACAGTTCGGCTTCCGCTTCCGGCTGAGCGGCCCTGTGGGCGTGGTCCGTGACAGCTGGGATCCCACCTCCATCTGGTGGCGCCACAAGCGGTCCGTGCACGGCCGGTTAGAACTGACCAACTATCTCGCCAGTATTCCTTTACAGGACTTGAGGGGTGTGTCGGGGCCTCTTACAAGTGTAGATAAAACTTCCAAATACCCATCGCAGTCGTTGTCGTCGTCGTCGGCGGCTTTTTTGTCGAATCTTAATGACGTCAGCTCGTCGAGATTACGACCTGGGAACACCAGGGAGCGGCAAACTGTTTTCAAAGATGCCAGAAAGTTGGATAAGTGGTCTGAGCGGGCGGCAGAGAAAGCGGTTCGCAAGAAGCTACAAAAGGCGCTGATTCGGAACGCGCTCCGAGAAAGGAGTCGGCTGGCGAGGGCAAATAGCTTGAATGGCCGCAAGATGATGCTTGAGTCGAGATCCTCGTTAGGTGGGCGCGCCCCGCTGTTGGTGGGGGCGTTGACCGGAACCCCTCGCCGCGCCAAGTTTGTGAGAAGAGAAAAGTCTGGCGGAAAACCGCGGAGAACCAAAATGTTGCTGGCGGCGGAGAGAATGGGCCAGCCCGTCTTACAGAGGCTCGCCTCTCTCTCAAGGGCCAGGGGCGGCGGTATGACTTCAGTGCCTCAAAGCACACACCACGAGAACTTACATTTCCCTCCTTTTGAAGAAATAGACAGCAGCGGTATCCAAACTGCTCCTTCCGACAGCCCGACGGAAGGGTTAGGGTTTCCCGCGCCGGGTATCCAAAACGAGGTCCAGGGAGGAAGTGCGTCTGGTCTTCCCGCTTTGTCTATGATGGCCACCGGCGACGGGCAAAGTGGTAGAAAACTGCCACCACCACCAGACGCGATAGAAATCGCTGACCACTTCGGTGACGGCACCGTCGAGTGGTTTCCCCTGGCGAAAGGAACCGGAAGCAGAGAGAGCGCAGACGCGGGTTTTGGCTTCCACGACACAGCCGGCACTTTTCACGACGACCCCGTACTTCCGCTCGTGTCTGACGCGGAAGTTAAAGGGTTCACGAGCGAGGGGTCATGGGCCAACTCTCAGGGGGCGTTCATCGGCGGGCCTGTCGGGGGCTTTGAGCCGTTCCACTCAGACACAGAGGGCTTGGAGGGAGGGTTTTCTCAACAGCCCGACACGTCTGTGTATGGGCTAGGATCAGGGCTAGGATCAGGGCTGGGCTCGTCAGGGTTTGGCTCATTAGGGTTTGGCTCGTCAGGGTTCGGAGGCGGCACGGTGGAACCCACAGACGTGGAGATATGGCCGGACGGCGGGTTCTCTTCTGACACGGTGAGTCGGTCACTGGGGGTACGGGGATAAGATAAGATAAGATAAGATAAGATAAGATAAGATAAGATAAGATAATATAAGATAAGATAAGATAAGATAAGATAAGATAAGATTAGATTAGATAACAGACGTTAGGATAAGATAAGACAAGATAAGAAGACATAAGATACAATAAGATAAGACAAGATAAGAAGACATAAGATACAATAAGATAAGACAAGATAAGATTAGATATTATTACGTAAGGTAAGACACGCACACTCTCAACAATTTGCCCCTCCCAGGCGTTCCCAGGTCGTAAGCCAGATTCCCTGTAAGGATTTCTCTGTTGACATCCACACCTTGGCGCTCATAGGACCTTATGCAGTTGCCAGCGCCGTAAAACATTTACCAAAATGGAAAAAGTCAAAACATTGGTCTTGGTATATCCAATCAACTGGGTGAGCAAATCTTGCTAAACACTGGCTAAGGGACACAAGGCTGGACATTTCTGAATTAATCACCTCAAACCAACAGTGGCAACAAAAACAACAACAAAAACAACAGCAACCACCACCACAGCTGCAACAACAACAACAATAACAACAACAACAACAACAACAACAACAATAACAACAACAACAATGACCAATAGAAAAAAATTGAAGCTGACAGCAGGAACATGCACTGATGAACACTTAAAGAGTTCTTCTATTTTTACTTTGGTTCACTTAGCATAGATTGTGAAGCTCATAGAGCTTGTTGTTGAGCGAGATTTGCACTATACAAACGCTATCTATTATTTTATTTCAGTCCCATTCTTGTAAAAACAAATTTCCTCAACATCTCAGGTACAGTTGTGTTATATTTCTAAGATAAAATGTTCCCCGCCACCCCCACCCACTCTCCTGGCTGCACCTCCTTCAACAGTAACGTAACTGTATATCTTCGTTCAGTACCAGAGATTACATTTATGACTGTCACAGCATTCCTCTCTTTTAAAACATCCTAATAAAGTATGCTTTTAAGCTAAGCGGTATCGGAAACCAGAGCTAGGAATGAGTCGAGTGTAGCTTCCTGACTCAATAATTTGTTGATTTTTTTCTCTTCTAATCGTCGCCACCTCTTTAGTGATACGCTGTGGAATTTTTATTTTTTCAAAAACGTTCTAGTTAGCAAAGTGATGACTCGTATAGTGGTTATTTGATAACGCCTGAAGCAGCGTTGTATAAAGGCACTTTAACCCTGTCTGTGCGTCGTGTTTTACTATCGTATCCATACGACATGGGGAGCTCAGTGCCACCACTCGTACCTCGTTTATCCGATCCGTACGTTTTGCATAGCATGAGCAGTTTGTCAAATTAATTTTTTGAGAAATACTGAAAGTTTCAAAGAGATCTTCGTACTAGAAGTATTCTAAATTGTGAGGAATACAACCCTGGGTGTACAAAGGACCCCAGGACGTACAGATCGGGTTGAAAAATCGTTCTTTTTAGCTTAGTTAGGACTCGCATTCTGGTCATTCGACAACGTCTAAAGCTACGCTGTGTAGAGGCACTTGAAAAAACAACAGCTACATCGATTTGTTATTCCTGCAAATCGTTTTGGTCTGTTTTCTTGATCTAGAACGTAAAAGCAACAACATGCGTACGACGATGTTGCTAATTATGGGAACATTTGTAACATTATGATTTGTACACGATGATTGGAAATGTGTACAGACATTGCCTTTGGTTTTCTCCTGATGGGACTTGTGTGTCCGCTACGTAAAAAGTTTCACCCCCCCCCCCTGGAAAACAACAACAACAACAACAACAACAACTTCAGTGGGTTAGAGTGAATGCACAACAACATAACATAAGATAAGAGATAAGATCTTTATTGTCCAGATCCTGGCACACTGGGTTCGTGTTTCACCATGTAAATACATACACACACACACACACACACACACACACACACACACACACACACACACACACACACACACACACACACATACATAACACAACAGAATGTGTCCAAGTTCGAGTCCAGAGAAACACACCGCACAACAATGGTCATAAAGTACTGAGCACAAATATTTAAAAAAAAAATAAGACCAATGTGTGAGTTTATCTTTGTTTTAGTGTTGTTCAATGATGATAGTTAAAAATACTAAAGAGCACTTATATAGTGCCCCCCCCCCCAAACACATTCTGTATATAATTTACTCC